GCCTCCTGGGTTCAGGCAATTCTCCTGCCTCAGCCTCCTCAGTAGCTGGGATTACAGGCACGCGCCACCATGCCCAGCTAATTTTTTGTATTTTTAGTAGAGACGGGGTTTCACCATGTTGACCAGGATGGTCTCGATCTCTTGACCTCGTGATCCACCCGCCTCGGCCTCCCAAAGTGCTGGGATTACAGGTGTGAGCCACCGCGCCCGGCCCAATACCAGTGGATTTTAAGGGAACACTGAAAACTTCATTGATATGGTTTCAAATTTTACATTGCAGCTAACCTTTGAGAAAAAACTATGTTTTGATGTAGCATTAAAGAAGAACATCTATAATTATCTGAAAATGCTATTGAACTACTTATGTCTTTTCAACTATATATCTATGAGAGTCCAGATTTTCTTAATATTTTTGGACCAAAACAATGTATTGGAACAAATTGAATGCTGAGACAGATGTGACAATCCAGATGTTTTCTATTAAGCCAGATGTTAGAGGCTTGTAAAAACATACAGTGCTACTCTTCATATAAAATATCTTTGTTTTGGAAAATAATGTTTTTTAAAACATTAATGTGTTATTTCTTATGTGATGTATTTGTTTTTAGATGAACTATTAAATATATTTAGATTTTTAATCAGTTTTTATTTTTAATATAGTAAACATCAGTATATGACCAACATTAAGAAAACAAACAAACAAAAACCTTTTTTTAAATGTTAAGAGTATAAAGGATCCTGAGACCAAAAAGTTTATGAACTGCTGGTCTAGAGTTTATTGGCTTGGGTTTCTACATGGAATGGATTTGCTTCAGCAGGCATTCTTTTTATTTCCTTTACGGTGTTAGGCCTGATAACTAGTATCCACTTGTTTAACTTGTTTAATCTCACTCATCTTTTAGTGTCGCCTCCGAAGTATTTGATATTGTTGGCCGTTTTTTCCTTCCTTTATTGAAACTTTCCTTCCTTGATGCCTCTAACACTCCTTTTTCATAGATTTCCATATGTATCTCTGAAACCAATTCCTGCCTCCCCAAACCTGGCCACCTGTATATTCTTTACTTTGTATGTGGGATAAACTCCTTTCTGGACCCTCAGCTAAAAAACCATCATTGTCTCAACTTAGAGTCTAATTTGTAGTCGTCCTTCATGTCCTTTCTCTGGATCGTCTCTTAAATCTGTCCCTTTTCTAGTTTATGTAGTTATAGTTCAGAAGCCAATATCATTTCTCTCATGAACTATTGGACAAATTGGTCTCTCCTTTGGAATGCTACTAACATTATCTTAATTATCTTTTTGGTAACCTATCTGATTATCTGATTATGTTGGTTCTTGTATATTTAAAAAAAAATTGAATCCTCTTTAGTGGCTGCTGAATAGAAGCTGAAATCCTGAGTATAGTGTTCAAAGCTATAATGATAATCTATCCCTAAACTACCTTCCTAGCTTAATTTTCTGCTGCTTATCCTGATCCTGTGCTGCCTCAGCACCGAAGTATTTTTATCATATGGTACTTTTCAAAGAAGCCCTCTGGGATTGCTGTCCCTCCACCCCTTGGTATCATATTGATTCTGTGTATGTACAGTCAGTCATATGCTCCATAATGACATTTTGGTCAGTGGGGGACCACATATAAAGTCTCATAAAATGATAATACTGTATTTTTACTCTACTTTTTCTATGTTTAGTTATATTTAGATACAGATACCATGGTGTTACAATTACCTGCAGCATTCAGTATAGTAACATGTCGTATAGGTTTGTAGCCTAGGAGCAATAGGCTCTATCATATCGCCTAAATATGTAATAAGCTGTACCATCTAGGTTTGTATAAGTACATTCTGTGACGTTCCCATGATGAAATTACTTAATGATGCATTTTTCAGAACATATTCCTCGTCATTAAATGATGCATGAATGTATGTATATGTAATTATTCCTAGTGAATAACTATATTGTAGTAGAATTGTCTAGATACTTATCTGCCCTACAGGGCAGAGATTGCTTATTCACTTTGGTATTTCCAGAAGCTAATAAAATACCTGAAGTATTATAGATATTTAAATGTTTTTAATTAATGTTCCTTCAAATTTAGCTGTTGCTGTTTGACACCTGACATTGCTTTTCCAATAATTCGAAACACTATGTTTGTAAAAATACTATCAGACTATTTTGGCTCTTAAGTTGTAGGTATAAATCATTTTGGCATTATTTATTATTTTCTGAGACGGGGTTTCACTCTATTGCCTGGGGTGGAGTGCAGTGGTGTGGATATAGCTTACTGCAGCCTCAACCTCCCAGGCTCAAGTGGTCCTCCCACCTAAGCGTCCCAAGTAGCTAGGACTACAGGAGCGTGCCACCACATCTGGCTGATTTTAAAACTTTTGGTAGACAGGGGTGTCTCTCTGTGTTGCTCAGTCTGGTCTTGAACTCCTGGGCCCAAGCAGTCCTCTCACCTTGGCCTCCAAAATGTTGGTATTACAGTCATGAGCCACCACACCCAAATGTTTTAGCGGTATTTCAAGGATGTTATTGTACATGAACACCTTAACATTTTTAAGGAACAGCTTTGGAAAGTTGTATATTTTTGTTATCTCATTTGTGGCCACTTAGGTCTCATTTTCAGATTATTGAAATTTATGTAATATAGCTAAAAATGAAGTATTCTTGACTAAAGTAAACCATTGAAGTCATGAAAGTGTACAACGTATTAAGAAATATATTATATTCCATTGCTGCAAAGAGAATAAAATACCTAGGAATACAGCTTACAAGGGATGTGAAGGACCTCTTCAAGGAGAACTTCAGACGACTGCTCAAGAAAATAAGAGAGGACACAAACAAATGGAAGAACATTCAGTGCTCATAGGTAGGAAGAATCAATATCGTGAAAATGGCAATACTGCCCAAAGTAATTTATAGATTCAGTGCTACCCCCATCAAGCTATCATTGACATTCTTCACAGAATTAGAAAAAACTACTTCAGGCCAGGCGTGGTGGCTCACGCCTCTAATCCCAGCACTTTGGGAGGCCAAGGTGGGTGGATCACAAGGTCAAGAAATCGAGACCATCCTGGCCAACATGGTGAAACCCCTTCTCTACTGAAAAATACAAAAATTAGCTGGACATGGTGGCACACACCTGTAGTCCCAGCTACTTGGGAGGCTGAGGCAGGAGAATTGGTTGAACCTGGGAGGTGGAGGTTGCAGTGAGCCAAGATTGCATCACTGCACTCCAGCCTGGCGGCTGGCAACATGGGCAAGACTCTGTCTCATAAAAAAAAAAACAAACCACAGCCGGGTGCGGTGGCTCAAGCCTGTAATCCCAGCACTTTGGGAGGCCGAGGCCGGTGGATCACAAGGTCAAGAGATCGAGACCATCCTGGTCAACATGGTGAAACCCCGTCTCCACTAAAAATACAAAAAATTAGCTGGGCATGGTGGTGCGTGCCTGTAATCCCAGCTACTGAGGAGGCTGAGGCAGGAGAATTGCCTGAACCCAGGAGGCAGAGGTTGCGGTGAGCCGAGATTGCGCCATTGCACTCCAGCCTGGGTAACATGAGTGAAACTCCGTCTCAAAAAAAAAAAAAAAAAAAAAAAAAAACTACTTCAAATTTCTTATGGAACCAAAAAAGACCCCTTATAGCCAAGACAGTCCTAAACAAAAGGAACAAAGCTGGAGGCATCATGCTACCTGACTTCAAACTATACTACAAGACTGCAGTAACCAAAACAGCATGGTACTGATACCAAAACAGAGATGTAGACAAATGGAGCAGAATGGAGGCCTCAGAAATAATGCCACACATCTATGGCCATCTGATCTTTGACAAACCTGACCTAAACAAGCAATAGGGAAAGGATTCCCTATTTAATAAATGTTGTTGGGAAAACTAGCTAGCCATATGCAGAAAACTGAAACTGGACCCCTTCCTATCACCTTCTACAAAAATTAACTCAAGATGGATTAAAGACTTAAAAACATAAGACCTAAAGCCATAAAAACCCTAGAAGAAAACCTAGGTCATAGCATTCAGGACATAGGCATGGGCAAAGACTTCATGACTAAAACGCCAAAAGCAATGGCAACAAAAGCCAAAATAGACAAATGGGATCTAATTAAACTGAAGAGGTTCTGCACAGCAAAAGAAACTATCATCAGAGTGAACAGGCAACCCACAGAATGGGAGAACATTTCTGCAACCTGTTCACCTGACAAAGGGCTGATACCTAGAATCTACAAAGGACAGAAACAAATCTACAAGAAAAAAATAATCCCATCAAAAAGTAGGCAAAGGATATAAACAGATACTTCTCAAAAGATGACATTTATGCAGCCAACAAAGATATGAAAAGAAGCTCATCATCACTGGTCATTGGAGAAATGCAAATGAAAACGTGCTGAGATACCATCTCACACCAGTTAGACTGGCAATCATTAAAAAGTCAGGAAACAGATGGTGGAGAGGATTTGTAGAAATAGGAACGCTTTTACACTGTTGTGGGAATGTAAATTAGTTCAGTCATTGTGGAAGACAGTGTGGCGATTCCTCAATCTGGAACCAGAAATACCATTTGACCCAGCAATCCCATTACTGGGTATATACTCAAAGGATTGTAAATCACTCTACTATAAAGGCACATGCACATGTATGTTTATTGCAGCACTGTTCACAATAGCAAAGACTTGGAGTCAACCCAAATGCCCATCAGTAATAGACTAGATAAAGAAAATGTGGCATATATACACCATGGAATACTATGCAGCCATAAAAAAGGATGAGTTCATGTCCTTTGCAGGGACATGGATGAAGCTGGAAACCATCATTCTCAGCAAACTGCTGCAGGAACAGAAAGCCAAACACCCCGTGTTCTCACTCATAAGTGGGTGTTTTGTTTAATGAAAAAGTTAAGGTAGTTGACATCAAGGGCCTATCAGAAACAAAATATATTATAAATACGTACTTATTGGAAACATATCATATGCAATGAATTATGCTAGGACTACAGAATTGTGGATGAAACCCAATACTAGCCTTTAAGGGTTTGAATTTTAGCACAGAAGATAATATTTGCTAGTGAGTAAAATACAAGGGGTTGAGAATGGGTTTTCCAACATGGTTCTAGCTTTTGGAGAAGACTATGCTTATATGAAATCAGTTATTGTTGTGGCCTTTTAAAAACTTAATATTTTATTTATTTTACTTTAAGTTTTGGGATACATGTGCAGAATGTGCAGGTTTGTTACATAGGAATACATGTGTCATGGTGGTTTGCTGTACCTATCAACCCATCATCTAGGTTTTTATTTTGTTTTTTATTTTTAGTCATGGTTTTCATTGCAAACATCATCTAGGTTTTAAGCCCCACATGCATTAGATGTTTATCCTAATGCTTTTCCTCCCCTTGCTCCCCTACCCTTCAACAAGCCCCAGTGTGTGATTTTCCCCTCCCTGTGTCCATGTATTCTCATTGTTCAGCTCCTACTTATGGGTGAGAACATGTGGTGGTTGGTTTTCTGTTCCTATGTTAGTTTGCTGAGAATGATGGTTTCCAGCTTCATCCATGTCCCTGCCAAGGACATGAACTCATTCTTTTTTATGGCTGCTTGTGGCCATTATTAATAAAGCACTTTTGACTGGGTGAGGTGGCTCACACCTGTAATCCCAGCACTTTGGGGAGGCTGAGGCAGGAGGATTGCTTGAGCCTAGGAGTTCAAGACTAGCCTGGGCAACAGCGAGACCCCCATCTGTACAAATACATACGTAAATATAAATAAAGCACTTTTGGTAAAATGTGCTTTAGCATCATAGTCAGTTTTCAGTTTGATTGATTACCTTCTTCCCTAAGAAATTTCAGCCAAATTATGTTATTTGAATCAGCTGCCACTTTATTGTTGGGTAAAGCCGCCTGCTTATTTTTTTTTGTTTGTGTGTATATATATATATGTATTTTTTTTTAAAACTACTGTTTTTAAGATGATAGTTATATAATCAATGTAAAAATTCAGTAGACGGAAACTTCCCACATAGTATGCTGCCCCTATGTGTAACCTTGAAGGAAGGAAGAATAAGCAAAGAAACCTTTCACCCAACTATGATAGTTTTATAAACCTGTTTCAAACAACCCAGGTTTCAATCTAGGTGCTAATATTCATTCTGTGACTGTATTTCTTATTTTTTTTTCTTGCGAATGGCATTATAAATCATGCCTTTATAACTGTGACTGGATTTCTACCTTCCTCACCAGTTGCATAGGGTGGTTTGATAAGCAAATGGAAGTGTATATCGAAAACATTCTGAACACAGTAAAGCATTGCACAAGTGACAGATAATCAAAGATAAAACTTTCACTGAATTTCCAGCACCAGAAACTACCAAAACTAACAACAACAACAACAACAACAACAAAAAAAGAAACAATGAATTTGGCAGCCATAAAAGATAAGCCATCATTTATTCCTTAACAGTAATGGCCACTATTTACTGAGCACTTACTGTGTGTCAGCCACTGTGATAATGGCTTTACCATTTAATCTTCTCAACAATGAAAATTAAAACCATTTAATCTTCTCAACAATGCTTTTGAAAGAAAACGAAAAAAACCTGAATATCATGCTGGCTATCATTGCCAACATAGCTAGTAAGGTAACTTCAGAAACAGACACTAAACTTAATAATGTAACACTAGTATAAAATTATTATATTTACAAAATAGATGGTTTCTGGGATGATTTTTCAAGTATTGAGCATGTATAAATTTAACAATCCTGTCCTTTTATGTGAGTGCACTTGTGTAGTGCTTTACTGGGTTCAGAGTGCTTTCCTATATATCCTTCTATTTGCTCTTCAAACCACACCTATATGGCTGGTGAGGAAGATGGTCCGCTAGTCAAAGAATTAATGTTAGAGTCTAGGTTGAAACCTGGGTTGTTTGATTACTGGTTGATCTTTTTACTCCTTTGTCTTTAATAAAGGAGTTTATAAAACTATCCTAGTTGAATGAAAGGTTTTTTGCTTATTCCTTGCCTTCAAGGTTAGATATAAGGCCAAGATACTTGGTAGAAAGATTAACATTCTGTGGAATATCAAGTTTTCGTGCAGGGATTTAGGGAAACCTTAGTGTTTTTTTCTTTAAGGTATGTTTTCCTTAAATAATTCTTTGTAGCTTGTAATAATTACTTAACAGATGTTTGTTGAACACCTACAGAGTTTTGTTTATTGGTTTTCATGGTTGCTAAAAACTGTACCTTTTGTTAAATGAGCTGTGATTTATAATCATGTTTTAAAAGAGTCTGATGTACTTCATTCTGTAATATTGTTTATTGTGGGAAATTATAGAATTACTGAGAATTAGAGAGCTAAAAGGAACCTTTCAAGTGTCTCTAGAGTGTTCAGTCATTTCCTGAGCCAGACAGGTTTTTATTACTTGAAACCTTAATGGTAGACAGATAAGAGTGTCATCAGAAGGAAAATCTTGAGAGGTTTGGAGTAGAGAGGCTTGTTAAGCTTTTAAAATGCGTTGAGCCCACTATTATTTGCAAAACCTTCTTGTTGAGATTTTTAGGTAAGTTTGGAGGATTCTTAATTGTGGAACTTGGGGAACTAGTAATATTTAGCAATCTGCTGGGTGAGGTCTTTTCTATTTGTTGGAATTCATGGCTCTAGCCTCATATCCTCTTGATAGGCAAGAAAACAGGCCGGAAATATTGTGACTTGTGTCAATAATTGATTAGTGTGAGATTTAGAAATCTGAATTTCTAGTCCCTTAAAAAAAATAATTTTTAAGAGGCAGAGTCTTGCTGTGTCACCCAGGCTGGAGTGCAGTGATGCGATCTTAGCTTACTGTAACTTCAAACTCCTGGGCTCAAGTGGTCCTCCTGACTCAGCCTCCAAAGTAGCTAGGACTATCTATAGGCATGCTCCATCACACCCAGGTAATTAAAAATTTTTTTGTAGAGATGAGGTCTCACTATGTTGGCCAGCCTGGCCTCAAACATTGCCTCAAGCAACTCTCTTGCCTCAGTCTCCTAAAGTATTGATATTGCAAGTGTGAGCCACCATGCCCAGCCTCCAGTCCCTTGCTGTGGTAGCATTTAATTAAATTTGCTAGCAAGTAACAAAGATTTCTTGTTAACAGCTTTCCTTAGACCTAGATCTAGTGGTATATCTCTTGACAATTTCCAACATTAGACCTACTAATTATGAATAATAGAAGAACTTAAAAACAAGAATTAAAATGTAAAAAATCTGGCTAATAGTGTGGTGAATAAAGAATAAAATGACTGTCTTTTTTCCTATATTTACTGATATTTTTGAAGTACAAATGTTAACAAACTTCATTTTTATGTCTTCTGTAACAACTGTTATTTTGCTGTATATCTTCACTTCTTTGATATCATAGTGTTTCTTTTTTTTTTTTATTTACACTTAAGATTAAGATATCATAGTGTTTCTCAGGAGAAATACCAGTAAATGTTATTTCTCTCTTTTATTTGTGATGCAAATATTAAGAATCACTAATAGTAATATAATCACTTCGATTATATGTGAATGTGTGAATGACTGGATGTGTGTACATGATATAAAGTTTGTATAGCCCCCTGACATTTTTTAGTCATATGAATTAAACCATTTCATCTTTATATGTTTTATACTTTGATCAGGGTTCCTTTGCACAATATTATGCTTTACTTTTATAGAATATGCTAGGGACAGTCAACCCAGAACAGCAGCAAGCAGATGATTTTTATGCCAGGGAGGTAGTTGCTCAACAGGTAAAGCTCAAGGCTCATTTGCACAGTAGGCAACGTGATTTTGGTCTTCTTTCCGCTTTGTTCCATCCATTTTTGCTATTTATCTTTTGTCTCCCCACAGCCCAAAGACTCTTCACTAATACTTATTTCTGGCCTACCTTCTAAAATGTTATCATTGCTTCATTTTCTTTATTTGCTTCACCAACTGTTCTTCCTTTACTAGAAAATCTTTTATGTTTTACATAAGTCTGAATCAAGTAATTGTTCTAAATGGTAATGCAAAGAATCTGGGTGTGGGGGTTAGAGTTTTATTTTTTCCTTAAGATAATAATTCTTATGATTATAAAAGTATCATGTATACATTAAAGATTTAAAGAAGTATAGGGAGGAAGATAGTAATGATTATCTTCATATTATCATTCCAGCAGAATTTAGCTACTTCTAAAATATTGTGTTTCCACTCTATCTTTTTGCATAGATGTTAGCATTTAAAAGTGAACCTTGAGGTATCTCTCGTTGGAAGAATGGGGAAAAAGGAGACTTTTCCCCATTTGAGGGCCTTCTTATGACCATTCTTACCTCATCCTGGCCCTCCAAGTTAGTCTCTGAGAAGTCCTCCAGTCCAACAGTTTGTTTTGGCTTATTTAGTCGAGCAGTTCTCAGTCTTATTTTACCAGAGAACTTTGTTTTTCAGTTATAATATAGACCATGTGGAGATGTGTTGTTCTGTAGGATTCTGCTATCAAAGTGTGGTCCACAGACCAGTGGCATTAGCATCATCTGGGAGCTTGTTAGAAATATCCAATCTCAGGCCCCACTGAGGACTTACTGAATCAGAATCTGCCTTTTAACAGGATCTTTAGGTTATTTATATACACATTAAAATTTGAGGAACACTGCTCAATTTTTTTCCGGATAGGAAGATGAGGTGGACAGGGGTCTGAGGAAGTCATCCCACTTTGAGCTGCTTTTTCCAAAGAGCTCTTCCCCTACATTTCTGTGTGTGCATGTGTGTGTGCAGGCAGTGTTGTATGTATGGGTGTGTGCATCGGCATGCATATGTGTACAGGCGTGTGGGTATGAAGGCATCTCTTTGTGTCTGTGTCTCTGATCCCCCTTTCTGTTTAGCAGACACCTCTCTCAATGAGCTTAATGAACTCTTATGTCCCCAAATGCTTTATTTGTTATACCCTTATCCCTAATCCCAGTATCTGTACACAGCTGTACATTCCTTCAACCATATAGCTCATGCAAGGCCATCTTTGGAAAACCTCCTGTGAAAGAGCAGGTTTCAGAAAATAGGAGAGAGGTTTGTCTGTTAGAGTCAAGTAACAACTTGACTTATAACAACTTATTTTTGGGGAAGAAGAGACCTGGCTTTCTCTCAGGAGGCCTAGTGGTTTTGAATTGTGTTGATTGGATCCCTCAGGTTTCATGGAATTGGCTCAGTTGGAGCAAGCAAGTGGGGTTATGTGGTTGCCTGCTTCACTTCATCCAGATCATTTATGCTATTATATATTTTATAAGGATTTCTCTTAATTTTTATTTTATAAGGGTGTTTTGCAAAACTTTTTTTTTTGAAAATCACTGCCCCGTTTTACCACTTAAATTCTGTTCAGCACAGGCTAAGTTAATTGTGACTGGACTACCCACCCTCATATTTCAAAAAGAAGAGCTATTCATGAGTTTTGTAGGGTGACGGGAGAGATTTGAAGCTTTCTTTCTTGAAAGACCTTTCTCTCTCCCTCCTTCCCTTTATCTTTCCTCCCACCCTACCCCACACTCATCATCTTAGACACATTTGTTCTTTTTCAGGACCAAGGTTAGTAAGGCTCAGAGCTACATAATCGACTGATTAAATGAGTAATGAGCACTATAATTTACAGATAAAACATATGTTAAATTCATAATGCTATCAAATTGTGCATTTGATAACATTTAATAAGATTATTTTGGGAGCCAATCATAATCCCAAAAGACATAGTCCTGAATGCCATAATCTCAAATGTTGGAATCCTGAAAAATCAACATCCTTAAAGTCTAAAATCCCCCAAATCACAATCCTAAAATGTCAAAATCCCAAAAATATATTTTGGAAAAAATAATACATTTTTAAAAGACACGTGCATTTTAAAAAGGATTTATTTGAGAAACAGAGAAAAACACAACAGAACAATTCATAGGCCACTTTACACAATAAAATAGGCGGTAATAACATTTTTGCAAGCATAGACACTCAGGTGTATTAATGACAATCATATAGATTTAACAGTTATAAGCAGACAAACCATATTCATAAGTCAAAATGGAAAATGTGTAAATGCATATCACTGTGGTTGATAATTGTGTGCACCCAGCTTTATAACTGCAGTAATATGAAATACCATGGAATACCTAAGCCTTGATGAGATCGATAATCATCTGTGTGTGTGTGTGTGTGTGTACGTGTGTGTGTAGGTGTACACACATGTGTACGTGTATGTGTGTGTGTGTGTGTGTGTGTGTTTCCGTTTCCTAGTAGCCTGTTACAGACTGTCACATAAAAATTTGGACCTTACCAATAAGCTTTAACATCTAGAAAGTACTCTGGTAGTGTAATAGGAGTGAGCAATGTATATAGACTTAATAGCAGGTAAAAGCAGAACTTTTTACTCTTTGCCATAAAGAGTATGTCTGTTTTCAAAGTTAGGATTGTCTGAGCATGGTCATGGTCTTTTTTCAGGCCACTGTGCCCTTTTACATATTATGATGTTTCTTCTGCTCTCCACTTCCTGGTCCTCCACCACAATTTCTTTCTTGGTCTTTATGATTGCTCAGGATTCATCTCTGAAGGCTAAGCTAATTCCCTTCTCTAGGTCAGAGCAAATGCCCTTTCAATCACTCTTAAGGCATTCTATGCTAAAAAGTGATGATGTATTTCCACAGTATATTGAAAATATTTTGTATTTGTTTCTTTCCTTCCTGAGGGCATTACCACTGATTGCAGTATCACATTTCAGTTTAAATCCTCTCAACATTTATATTCATGTGGCTTTTTGATGCTGATTAAATACGAGCAATAAAATGAAATTAGCACATTTATTAGTTAATAAAAATGATAATTGTAATATTAATAGAATTCTCAATGCTTGTCACAGTGTCTTGTGTAGGTACTGATAATACTTAAATGAACTGCAGAAGGCCCTTTATTATATATCTGATTCTGCTGCTGTTTTAAACTGCATTCCACTACTTGTTTTTAAAGGAACTTTTTTTTTTTTTTTTTTTTTTTTTGAGACAGAGTTTTGCTCTTGTTACCCAGGCTGGAGTGCAATGGCGCGATCTCGGCTCACCGCAACCTCTGTCTCCTGGGTTCAGGCAATTCTCCTGCCTCAGCCTCCTGAGTAGCTGGGATTACAGGCACGTACCACCATGCCCAGCTAATTTTTTGTATTTTTAGTAGAGATGGGGTTTCACCGTGTTGACCAGGATGGTCTCGATCTGTTGACCTCGTGATCCACCCGCCTCGGCCTCCCAAAGTGCTGGGATTACAGGCTTGAGCCACCGCGCCCGGCTTAAAGGAACATTTATGGAATTTCATAATTTTGTGAGTTAGATGGAATATGTTTAAGGATACCCATTTTACTGGATAGAAGAACTTACATCAATCTGAGCTACCTGAATGTTCAGTTTTCAGCAGTTTTAAAAATGTTTTATCATCAACGTAATGCATGATTGAAACTACAGCTGACAGATTTCATTCTCTCTTTTGTCATGCTTACGTATTTGCTGCATCTTAACTAGAGGCTGCTGAATCTTAACTAAAGGAGAGAAACCATTTAGTGGAAGCCATTGTGATAATCTAGGCAAGAGGCAGTAATGGCCTGAACAAAGGGAATGCCAGAGGGGAGAGAGAAATGAATGTATTACAGATATATTTAGGAGAGATCTGTAGGACTTGATAGTTGATTGTATATGGTTGTGGGAGGGAGGAATTTGGGTTCTAGTGATGGGGAAGCAGCAAGGACGAATCTTAGAATTCTGGCTTAAGTAGTTGGTGAATGGTGTTACTTCTCACTGAGATAGCAAATAGGAAGACAGGTTTTAGGGGAAGATAATAGTTTACCTATAGATTTGTTGAATTTTAGGTGCCTGGGGAACATTTGAGAGGGCGTATTTGTGAAGCAGTTTGGATATGTTGGGTAAGGCCTAGGAAGGAGAAAGGGCTGTAAATACATATTTGATAGTCATTAGCACCCATGATTTGTGTTGAAGCTGTGGGAGTGGGTTAAGACACATCAGGGAGAGAATGTATTGCATACCATGAGAAAAGAGACCTAGGAGAGACTTTTGAGAAACATCTTAGCTTTTTTGCAGTGGAAGAAGAAGAAAGAAATGGAGGAAAAAAAATTAATAGGGAGCAAGAAACCCAGGAGAGTGTAACAATACAAAAACAGAGGGAAGAGGATATTTTCAAAAAGAGTGGGGTGTGTTTAACCACGCCCAATGGCTTTTACTTTTATCAGACAGAATCTTAATTTTTCTTTCAAGTTCCATGTAATATTTGTTTTAATAAGTATGACATTTAAATTTATACTTTTAAGTTGTAACAAGGTAATAATCCTGCATAGTGCTTATCCTCAGCTTTTCGTATTAGTTAGAATAATTCTGATTTATATTTATAGGCGAAGTAAAGGTGGTTAATATTGGTAGGTAGGAAAATGTGTAAAATTATGTTAGGAACTAACTTTGTTTCCCAAGGATATAATTATCTAGTAATATCTATCTTTAAGTCTGTGCCTCTAAAGGTGACTTTAGATTATAGCTACAAAATGTGATAGAATTAACAGCAACAAAAATCCCAAAACACTGGGTCCATCTTGGTGTCAAGAATTTAAGTGGTAAGTAAATGTATAGTAACTTTGGTTTTGTTGTTGTTGTTGTTGTTGTTGTTGTTGTTTGAAATGGAGTCTCACTCTGTCGCCTAGGCTGCTAGAGTGCAGTGCCACAATCTGGGCTGACTGAAACCTTCGCCTCCCGGTTTCATGCGATTCTCCTGCTTCAGCCTCCTGAGTACCTAGGACTGCAGGCGCATACCACCACTCCCAGCTAATTTTTTTGTGTTTTTAGTAGAGATGGGGTTTCGCCATGTTGGCCAGGCTGGTCTTGAACTCCTGACCTCAAGTGATCTACCTGCCTCAGCTTCCCAAAGAGCTGGGATTACAGGTATGACCCACCACACCCAGCCAATGTATGGTTACATTGAAAACTCCTGGGAGATTGCATAATAATTATGAAGGAATAAATATAGTTTGAAGAAACCCTTATTTTCTGTTTTCAGGAGGAGTGAATCATAGCACTCTTTAATGATTGGTTAACCAAGCAAATCACAGCACTTCTTTTAAAACTTTATTTGTTCTGTAAAATAATAGCTGTCTCTGATGTAATTTTTTTTCTTTATTTCAATTTTTTATAAATATGAGGTCTCACTATGTCGCCTAGGCTGGTCTTGAACTCCCGGGCTCTCACAATTGTCCCACCTCAGCCTCCCAAAGTGCTGGAATTATAGGTGTTAGCCATTTCACCTGGCTTACAGTAGATTTCATATGATTTACAGTGCCTAAAGAGTCAGTTTTATGAGTGCTGAATAACAAAGTTATTTAGAACATATGCAGAATAAGAAAGAAATAGCCGAAGACTCTAGAACTAAATATCAGTGAGTGGCTTTAGAATTTCAAAAATATTTTAATTACTCATTAAACATTAAAATGCTATTTTATTTGGAGATAGCATCAGATAAAAAAAAAATGCTATTTTAGGGCATGAGTTGGGCTAGGTAATGGAGTTAAAAGAACAAGACACATCCTTACCCTCATAGAATTTTTGTTTTGTTTTGTTTTGTTTTTGAGATGGAGGAGTCTTGCTCTGTTGCCCAGTGCAGTGGTGCCATCTTGCCTCACTGCAACCTCTGCCTCCCAGGGGTTAATTTTTGTATTTTTAGTAAAGAAGGGGCTTCACCATGTTGGCCAGGTTGGTCTCGAACTCTTGACCTCAAGTGATCCATTTGCCTAGGCCTCCCAAATTGCTGTGAGCCATTGTGCCCAGCCAGCCCTCATGGAATTTAAGTTGCAAACAAAAAGTACAAATAAAATCATTGCAGACTGTGGCAGCCAGGGGAGTTATTTGAAATAGGTGAAGAGGGGAGTCTTCTCTGAGTGGGTAGCATTTAATCAGAAAGTTGAAGGATAAGAGGATGCTGGGCATGGTGGCTTCACACCTGCAATCCCAGCACTTTGGGAAGCTGAGGCCATTGGATCACTTGAGCTCAGGAGTTCGAGACAAGCCTGGGCAACATGGCAAAACCCCATTTCTACAAAAAGTACAAAAATTTGCTGGGCATGGTAGCATGTGTCTGGTTTCCCAGCTGCTTGGCAGACTGAGGTAGGAGAATAGCTTGAACCCAAGAGGAGTAGATTGCAGTGAGCTGAGATTGTGCACTTCAGCTTGGGGAAAGCCAGACCCTGTCTCCAAAAAAGGGATAAGAAGAGGTATTTGTGAAAGAGTTATGGTTAACAGCAAGTTGAAAGCCCTTTGGTTAGGAGTTTATTTTCCATTGAGCAAAGACTAGTACATAGTGAGGCAGAGGGTAAGTGGCATCAGATGAAGGTGAACAAGTAGGTAAAATGCCAGATTATAATTTAGTCATACATGATATGACACTGAGATTTTATTGGAAGTGTAACAAGAAGCCATTTAATGAGTTTAAAGTGTGGAAGTGCTCTGTGGCTTCTGTAAGGCAAATAGACTGACAAGCTGCAGGAATGTATTAATAGAAAGACTAATTGGGCTATTCTAGTTAGATGAAAGATGTTGGGACATTAATATTTTGAGATTAGATAAAAGAGAATGAGTTTGTGCCTTACTGTTATTAATACCTTCCTGTAAATTTCCATGAAAATGTCATTAATATACACACAATGAAGACTTTTTAAGGTATGGCATTTCAGTACTTATGGTTTTATATGTACTTTTAAAATGAGAATGAAATTAAATATATTAAAGCAGGATGATTTGCATGAGCATGGTGAAATGTAATAGAGGAATTTCTATTTTATTTATTTATTTATTTATTTATTTTTTTTGAGACGGAGTTTCGCTCTTGTTACCCAGGCTGGAGTGCAATGGCGCGATCTCGGCTAACCGCAACCTCCGCCTCCTGGGTTCAGGCAATTCTCCTGCCTCAACCTCCTGAGTAGCTGGGATTACAGGCACGCGCCACCATGCCCAGCTAATGTTTTTTGTAT